TATGAGGCTTGAGGAAGTTTTAGAGGGAGAGGAAGAAAAATATGTAAAGTAGAGAAAGGAAGAAAAAAAAAATCAGTAGACTACACATTCTGTTCTACCCCTTATTCTCCAACTTTTCTTTCCATTTTTCATGAAGGTCATGTGTGGCTAAACTTTGATACTTGGTCGAAGGAAACGGAAATCTCGAAATTAATAAAACTGTGAGATCTAATTTGTTTTTATTGTTCAAATTTATGATTTGATTATCAAATGTTTTGCTGTGCCTATATTTCATGATTGTCTCGTTTAATTACTAGGAGGCCTACTATTTTATTATTCATTGCAATCTATTGCTAGGTTATATCAAATCCGTAATTGTTTGATCACTCTAATTTGTGAAGAAACTAAGATTAAATGATTTGCTTCGTCAAAAATTATTAGGTCTTAGGAAGAACGTTCAACTAAATTAAATGCATCCGATTGTGCTTGTATTGTTTAGTTTCATCGATCTTTCTAATTCTTAATGTTGCTACTAGATTAAACTTTTAGTACTTGTCTTGGGTTGTTTAGTAGTTAATGTTAATTAGATCGATTGTTTTCTAATTAATTGCGACTAAGGAAAAATAGGAAAATAGTTCCAATGGTGAATATTCAGATAGTAAATTGATATATCCTTGCATCGATGATCAGTTGTAAATTAAATTCCGATGGTGGATGTTGACTTAGACCAAGATTTGTTCTCTTAAATGATTTCGATACTTTAATTTGAATTATTCTTTAATTGTTTTTCTTAAAATTGTTTTCGTTAAACTCAAACCCCCTCCATCTTTGTTCACGAGGCATAAAACTAGGCTAGATATTCTCCGTGGGAACGATCCTTACTCGCACTACTACATGTATTTTTAGGAGTATAGATTTTATTTTTGGTTGTTTGCGACAGCACACCAAAAATTCATGTTCAATTCAGGTTAAACCCCAAATTACGAGTTTTGGTCCCCGAAAACCTAAAATATCAGCCAGAATATTGTCTACATTTATATTTTGTTAGGAATTTTTATTTGAGTCTAATCTAAATACTAGAAATAGTGCCCCAAGTATCCTCTTTTTTTTTTCAGGCTGCTTTTGGATTGAGTTGAGTTTTTTTTTTTCTAGAATGTCTAAGTTTGCTCTGACTACTCGTTCGAATTCAACGGTTGATCATTATGACTTGAGTAGGTTTAAATCATATCTCAAAAAGACAAATGTGACTAACTCTTAGGGGTGTGATAAATAATTAAACGTGAAACTTTTAAGTTACCAAATAACAAACTCATTCGCTAAATCACCTTTAAAAGTCGATGAAGTTGAGATTAACCTCCTCAGATTGCACCCTTAATTGTTGAAATAACATGGTAGGTGATTTTCCTCGGCTACCACTTTTAATGCAGTTTGTTTTTTTCGTTTTTTTGGTATTATAAGTGTCTTAACAGTTTTTGAATGCAAATAGTATAATGATAATCATATTGCATGGAGTGGGACAGTCACCGATTGTCTTGTTTGGATGGTAGGAACCTCATCCCACGATGTGAATCTCATTTCTATTTCTGTCTCCTTACGTGTTTGGTTCGTACCACTGCCAGCCTATTATAAATCGCTTACATCAAATCAATGATGTTTTTATAGAATGTAGATATTCCATTACATCAAAACATAATAATAATTAAAGTCAAATTAGAGTAGAAAGTGTTTTCAAGAAAAAAAAAATTATTACTCTCACCAAATTTATACATGAAGCAATATACCCTACCCTTTGCATTAAAAGTTTTAAAAATAAATTAATTGTTATGTTATAAAAATAATATATATGCATTTACGTGTATATGTGTATATACACAAATTAAAATTTAAAAAAGTGAATAAATTCAAACAAAGAAAAAAAATTAAAACACAAAACTTAAAATGTATTTAAAAAATAATAAAATATTTAAAATAATGTCATGAAACGATACCATATTTCGAATTGAGAAAAAAAAATTGATCATTGGAAGATTTTCCTTTACATAAACAAATTGATCGAGGATTTCTATACATTCTTATTTTCTATAAGGGTAAAATGGGTATTTTGGAGATAACAACTAATATACATGTAATAATTATAACATATAGTCATCACCAACCCCAACCAATATTGTTGTGCCTTTTAAAAGCACCACAAGAGTCAAACAATTGACGAATTAATTGTTCAATTTTGACAAAACATGGGGGATGACTCTGGATTTAAATCATCCTCATTATACTTCATTTAATTTCAATCTTATTTAACTCCATCAATGTTTTATTCATCGTTGTTTATCCAAAGTCATGATAAATGAGGAGAGATAGGATAGGTAGTCAACAATCAGCGTAAAATTTTGTTATATCCACTATAATAAATAGATGAATAATGCTATTAAGACATAATTTGAAGATTTAATGATTGTAATAATTAGATTGTCAATAAGTTCCAACATTAATTATCACTGGGTCCTAACACTATCAATCCAATGATCATAATACATTAAATTATCAAATTATGTCACACTAGCATTAGTGTAAATAGATTATCTACTACTAATACACATGAGATCCATCATTTACTAGTGGCCCCCGCACCTATATATGATAGATGATTTATTAAGTGAAATTAAAAAAATAGTATAATGAAAAAAATCTCAATCCCAAAACTCCGTTCTAATTTTTTTTTTTGTTAAAAGTCACGCCGACTAACAAAATTGATCAAAGTGAATCAAATCCATCGTATTTATTCGGGCTCAATTCATATATTTGCACAGAAAATTAAAAAATGGTTGAAGGTCCTCATATTTTTTAAATATTTCCTTCAAATTGGACACATTCCTCCCATACTGATTTTTTTTAATCAAATAGATTTTCCTATCTTTATTTAATTGACCTTAATTTTGTACTGTGATATTGATTCGTAATGTGACTTCTTTTTTTTTAATGTGAAATTTCATTCCCAATGTGCTGATTATAATATTTTTATCTTCTGTGACACGAAGATCCTTAGGTGTGTATGGAAGAGCTTAATGAACCTTTGATTAAATTTGGCTGGTTAGTTAAATAAGTTTTGAAATTAAGTTCAATCTTAGTTCATCTCGTAAATGAAATAAATTAAATATTTGTTCAATATAAATTCTAAACTATTGATAGTAATCTATTTATATGTTGAACAATGTTATTGAGACTTAATTTATTAATTTAATTTGTTGATCTAATTCACTGATGGTAGAGTCGTAAGCCCCATCAAACATTAAAACTTGACGTTGATTCAATAGTTCTACTAAAATTATATTATTATATTAATAAATTAGGTCCAAATAACATTACTCGTTAATTAAAAATACAAGATAAGTCAATATTAGCCACATTAAAATTTTAAGTTAATAAAAAATATGATATAATATAATATAATCTATAATATAAAATAGGACGTATTTCAATAAGTCCATTCGACACTTTTTAAATAGACTCATTTAACAACTATCAATATCTCTATAAAAAACAATCACACTATACCATACTTTTAAGCACCGGTTACCCGTGATAATAATAATAATATAAAACATGATAGGTTTCAATAAATCTATCCAACTGTCTCAAATAAATTCATTTAACGACCACCAACATCCTTTTCAAAATTATTCATATTAAATTTTACTCTCCCAAATTCATCATTTTTCACTTACGTTACACCGTAATTTCAAACACGGGTTACTCCTAGTAATATAATAAAATAACACATTTTAATCATGTCAAATTTTTATTGAAAAAAAAATAAATAAAAAATAAATACATTTTCCAGTGCTGAAAACAGACCTAGCAATACAAGTTTTCCGACAATAGTTTAACCAAAGCAAAATACTGTGCTTATTAACTTTTTTACCAAATTTTTCATATTCATTATTAAATATTAATAGAATTTACTTATTTTATATTAAAAAATTATACCATATCATTTGAAAGGAGATTTTATTTTTTGGGTTAATCTCAATTTATACCCTAAAAGATAGTTTGAATCTCAATTTGTATCTTTAATGATCAAAAATCTCAATTTGTACCCTCAAAGAAAAAAAATATATCAATGTGCACCCTCAAAGATAAAAAATCTCAATTTGTACTCTCAAAGATAGAATTTTGTATCAATGTGCACTCTCAAAGATAAAAAATTTTAATTTGCACCCTCCAAAATATAAATTTATATCAATGTGCACTTAAAATTAAATTAATAAATTATACCTAGATCGTCTCATGCTTATCACTTAATCATTTGGACCCCTTCACATTTAGAATATTACTCCTACATCTCATGACTTTTGTGCACATGTAACACGTAACCCTTTTTCATTAATATCTGTTAATATAACCGTTAAAAAATATGATTTATTCTAATAATAAATTATAATTTCATATTACCTTTTATTTTGTGAGTCTGATATATTCTAAAATTCAAAATCAAACTTACCATTTGAATGTCCAATAGAATGTAGAAATTTTTATTTTTTTTATATCCAATGCAATATATCACTCAATGTACAACTCTTTATTCTATTAGACATTTAAATGATAAGATTAATTTTGAATTTTAGAGTATATTGGACCCATAAAATAAATGTTAATATAAAATTATAATTTTTTATTAGGATAAAATTATATTTTTTAACGGTTATATTAACAGATATTAATGAAAAAGAGTTACATGTTACACGTGCACAAACGTCATGAGATGTAAGAATAATATTCTAAATGTGAAGGGGTCCAAATAATTAAGTAACAAGCATGAGGGGATCTAGGTATAATTTATTAATTAATTTTATATGCACATTCATACAAATTTTTATTTTTTAGGGTACAAATTAAAAATTTTTGATCTTTAAAGATGTAAATTGAAATTTGAACTATTTTTCGGGGTGCAAATTGAGATTAAACCTTTTTTTTTTTTTTGAATCAGAGGAGATTTGAAAAAGCTTACACTGCGTTATCGTCTTTTTTCCACCTCCGTAAAAGCTCAGACCAGAGAGAGAGAGTATCAAAAATGGAAAAAAGTTTGGTGCAACCGTTTGTCGCTGTGTTGATTTCATCTGCTATAGCCATCAGAGGTTACAGAAGAAAATCTCTTAATCTCTCGGGGGCATTTCTAGGGTTCATAGTCATGACCATTCACATCGCCGTCAATTACAGGTCTATTACATATGTATATATGTGTTTATATGGTGTTTTTATTTTTGATTTTGATAATTTATGGATTTAATTTAGGTTTGGAGCGATGTTGCTTGCTTTCTTCTTCACTTCATCGAAGCTTACCAAGGTCGGAGAAGAGAAAAAGCGAAAAGTTGATGCTGATTTCAAAGAGGGAGGTCAGCGCAATTGGTATATTCTCTCTCTCTCTGGGTGTGTGTACTTTCTATATAATTGTGGGACGATGAGTTTTTGTTCATTTATGCAGCAATTTTTGACTTAAATGCTTCTAAATGTCACACCTACGCACTCGCACACGTACGACACTATGTTTATGTGAAGTACTTAGTTCAATGCTGAAATGCTCTGAGTTGTAAGCTTGAGAAATATCTGGGTTTCGACTATGAGAGGGGGGCCACATTATGCAAATAAGCAAAACGTAAGTTTTACTTGCTGATGGAGTTGGTCTCATGATAGGAAAATAGTTCTTTTACTGCTTTTATGTACTTAAAACTGGTTAAAAATTTCGTGAAGCTGCAAAAGTTTCCAACATTTTAGGACTTCTTTATGAAAAAAGTTCAAGCAAGTTTCCGTTGTTGTCTCAACTAAAGCAGGTTTTGAACGTAACATTATCTGTCATAGCTTTTCAGCTCATTCTTGGTTGGTTTTTACTGCTCAACACTTCTTTTGAATTTTTCATATCTTGAGGCTTTAATTCTTTTAGGACCCTATAAAAATATATGTGTTTACATATAAATTTATGTAGCTTCACCAAACACTTCTTTCAGTGTTTTTTTCATCCACTGAGTGGATTTGAGGGGTTAAACTTTTGTGAATCCTCCAGTCTTTGTTGCAACTTCCCTTTAATAAATTAATATGTGACTAGACCTGTAATACTAAAGATGAAATTTGAAGGATACAACAAGTGTACTTTTCTGTTTTGCATATCACATAACTTGTTTTATATAGTTCATGGGGCAATTAAATATGAGGAACACCAGTCCTCCCTTGGCAAACTTATTTAGAAAATTTTGGTGGCGATTTGATATTTTGTTGCCCATGGTTTGTAACTATATGGCTAGTGCAGCTGCAGCCGATATCAATCACCTGAACAATTTTCTGTGCTGTTAATAAGTTTAAGTTGTTGGTCAGATTTTCTGGCACTTAAACCTGGAGTTGTTGTAGAGATAACATTTCTAAGTTGAGCTGCATGCATGTGCTACACATATCCCTCATGCCTCTGATTAGAATGTAGAAGGCCTTGGAAAAGCTGTATTGGATCATTGCTTTTTTTTTGATAGGCTGTTCTCCGTTTGTTTTCTACAGGATACAAGTTATATCAAATAGCGGTATTGCTACCATTTTGGTCCTTATTTTTTGGAAGCTGACAGGATCACAGGACAAGTGCTTAGACTCCAAAGAATCAAACCTTATAACATCTCTCATTGCTGGTGTTATTGGTCATTATTGCTGTTGTAACGGAGACACTTGGTCATCAGAGCTTGGCATACTAAGTGATGCGCAGCCTCTATTAATCACAACTTTCAAGGTGGATAATTGTTGGTTCATGTTGTCGGATACTCTCTTCCTCTCCCTTAAATTCACTTCTAGTTGAGGCAAGAGGAATGCCTTTTACTCTCTGCTGTTGCTACTAAGTTCAACTAATGGTCACAAGTTGTTGTTGCATTTAGTTCTGATGAACCATCCTGGTACAGTAGAGTTTTGTATCTCGTTTGTCTTATTCTTATCTGGCAACTTTGTTGATTGGACTTCCACATTATCTGCTGATCCTAAGCTTTTGATGCATTTGACTCACACTTGAAAACTATGATACACAGAGCAGGTGTGAAAAAGAAAGCGAGATTAGTGATTTTCAAAATATTCTATCATCCAAAAGAAACATTACATTGGTTTTGATGTATAGATATCCATAACTTGGAACACATCAAATGCCTCTTTTAAACAACCATCTAGGGATGATCTGTTGGCTGGTGGTGCTCTTGTTCAAAATCTTGCCTGGGTTCTTCTTGCCTATGGTTTCACAACTGAAAATATACTATGAAGTGTGCCACCTGGACAAGATATACAAGTTGGATCGAAGGACTTATTTCCTACACAAGCAGTAAAACTTACTAAAAAAGTTTGCTACAGAGCCAATCTGCAGCTTGACTAAGACCAATCTGCGAATTCCTGGGATTCCCCTCTGAACTCCCAAATTTTTGCAATGGCTTCAATTCTGAGGCCTATCACACATTGCATGTTCTACCTTTCAGTTTTAGATGCATGGTGAGCGGGAGAGGTACCTTAATTCTTCCTAGAGCTTAAAGTTTGATAACATCACAATGGCAAGAGAATGTGTATATCATTTGCTTTGCGTTTTCTCAATATGTTGTGTAGTGTTCTCAAATGTTCAACATGAAGTGCTTCTTGGTGATATTATTTTGATCTTGCATCCGCCCTCTTGACTTCTCATGTTCAATGGGGCTTTTTGTTCTTCTTCCTTTCTTTTTTGCCTACTCAAATTGGGGTGTGTAGGTCAATCCACTGACCTCACATCTCAATGATGCAAGCTTGATGGATGATTAGTCTGCTACAATATTAGGGATTTGATTATCTTTTAGTATGGTGAACTATTCTATAATTTGAAGATTTTTGCATTGCTTTCAGAACCTTACAAACTGTGGATCCTAATCTATTTCCTTCTTTATTATCAGCCAGTTCGGAGGGGTACAAATGGTGGTGTAACAAAAGCAGGACTCTTAGCAGCTGCTGCAGCTGGCGGCATTATTGGGCTCACATTTGTTCTGTTAGGATTTTTCACAACAAAATGCACGAAAGATGTAGTGCTAAAGCAGCTATTGGTAATACCTATTTCTGCTCTGGCAGGACTATGTGGAAGTGTAATAGATTCTCTGTTAGGAGCAACACTGCAGTTCAGTGGATTCTGCACTGTTCGTAATAAGGTAAGGCCACTCCATATTCTTGTACTGAATTTAATAGTTATTTCTGTGAACATTACTTGGACAAAGGCACCTAGAGGATTTGGGTGGTTCTAGGATCTCATTGTAATTGGATTGAGACTGAAAATTCTGAAGTGTCAACATGTTGTGCTGTTAGTTAATTGATGAGGAGTAAAATTGCCTGATAAAAAATTTCATCATTCATTCGGAACATCCTGATTTCCATATGTTTAACTAGTTGATTCTGATAGAATTGGAGCTTGCCCCTTCATTGTCTTTGCAGATTGTTGGGAAACCAGGACCAACAGTGAAGAAAATCTCAGGTCTTAGTATTCTCGATAACAATGCTGTAAACCTTGTTTCGGTATTGCTGACTACAATGCTGACTTCCATTTTCTGCTTTTACATTTTCTGAATCCCAGCTGCTCAGCTAAATTGTTGTAAGAGATTGGACACTTCCAGTTGTTATTTTTATATGATATGTTCCATGTTATGACTCTACCCTTTTTGATCAACATCTGTTACTACAATATCAGTGGCACCAAGAAAAGCATTATGTTGGTACCGTGTATACATGTCTAGGAGCACATGAAGCCAGTTTTATTTATTCATGTTATAAATACTAATTCTGTGCATAGTGGTGATCAATCTAATTTAGCATCTTTTACAAGATTTGATCACCAAATCTATTACTGCCACTTTACTACTTGGATCAAAAGATTCAAAACGCTGTGTGTGTGTGTGTGTGAGAGAGAGAGAGAGAGAGAGAGAATTTTTTTTATCTTTTTGGCCTGATCAAGTCTGAAGTTAACAAGAAAATGTATGTTTTCGTGTATGACTCTCGTGTGCTTGATCAAGCACAGCCAAAATTTATGAAATCTGATGCCGTTTTCTTCAATTACGTTAATTAGATTGTTCTCATATATGCAAGGTGGGTGATCTACCTTTGTGGAATTTGAGGAAATCTAGTACCAAAAGTGATTCTAATCCAGAAAGACAGTATGGTTATTCCCATGAGACACAAGCATTAACATCACAACCACCATGATACTAAATGGATTCAAATCCAAGATTCCCTTAAACCTTTCCTAACCATAAATATGAATCTTCGAGTAACAGTAAATTTGTTTTACTTTGATCTGAAATATTTCATATTTTAGTTATGGAACGAGTATCTCTACATGCACGGTAAGAGCTGACTTTTTTCAGGCCCTGTAATGATGTATGTCTCGAGCCCTGGCCACTGGCTTACCCTAGGCTTTGGTTATAACTGCACATTAGGTTACAATAACAGAGTGCAGAGATGAGGAACGATAAATATAATGCCAACATGAATTTGTAGAACATCTTTGACATCCCAAACAAGCTAAAACATTTCTTCTATAATAATGAAAAGCAACACAAGTATACAAGATGGTCTCCATATATTTGTCAAGGAGACGCACTTTCTCAATCCAAACAAGGTGCACAAAATAGACAGCCCTCGGACAAAGATCGCAGGACGTGGGATCAGAAAGTTGCCAACACAAAAGGGCTTTTCTCCATTAAAGCCAAGGGAAGTGATATCTAAAGTAGCACAACCACACCCACGACCAGTACCACCACCACGACCGCCACCACCACTTGACACAGCTTTGATAACATGACAAGGCAGATACNGGTGGGATCGGAAAGTTGCCAACACAAAAGGGCTTTTCTCCATTAAAGCCAAGGGAAGTGCTATCTAAAGTAGCACAACCACACCCACGACCAGTACCACCACCACGACCGCCACCACCACTTGACACAGCTTTGATAACATGACAAGGCAGATACAACACCAAGTGGCTTCCCGAATACATCCATATAGAATAACAACTTCCAACAATGCAAGCAAAATCACTACACATTATCACTGTGTCGTTTTCCCAGAAACTAAAGCATGGGAATGAGCTCATAGACAACCTCTAGGCAAAAGTAAATTAGCAAGCAGCAACACATGTGGCAGGTTCTTCAAGACCTGAAATACTACGAGCTACCGGTTGAAAACCNTAACAACTTCCAACAATGCAAGCAAAATCACTACACATTATCACTGTGTCGTTTTCCCCGAAACTAAAGCATGGGAATGAGCTCATAGACAACCTCTAGGCAAAAGCAAATTAGCAAGCAACAACACATGTGGCAGGTTCTTCAAGACCTGAAATACTACGAGCTACCGGTTGAAAACCAGCAACAGTTTCCAAGCGCTCCCATGTCAATCTCCGCCTCTCAGCTGCTACACTAAGCTTTGAATTTTCTTCCTCAAACTTGCTTTGGCAGGCAAGCACCAGCTCTTCATCCATCTCACAAAACATTTTCCTAACATTTTGTGTGAGGTTGACCACCGCTCGGTTCCAATGGTGCTTGGTGTTCCGCTCCAAAGCTGAGAAGACAAGTGGCATAATCACCTGCCGATTATGCATGATAAGGTTAAGTATGTGCTCGTTGTTTAGTAAGAAGTGTGCTCGTTCAGCCACCTGAAAAAAATTAACAGAAATAAGTTTGCTACTACAAAGCCAGTGACCAGACTACTGGGTACATATAAAACCAGATATAAGCTCAAACACCACCTGACCACAATGGAAAAATGGAAAAATAACAAACAAACAAAATTTTAAGGTTGTCAACTTGTTGGTCCCCGTCAAATTAAGGCAGCAAACAGAGAGAGAAGTTTATGGTACACCCCCCCCCACACCCC